CCCCCCCCCCCCCCTGTGTGTGTGTCTGTGTGTGTGTGTGTGTGTGTGTGCTTGTACCTCCCGTCGATGATGGTGCCTCTGCATCCGTCTGGTGGGAAGTGGGCGAACCGCCTCTGCAGGTCCAGCAGGGCAGCACGCACACTCGGGTGCACTGAGATGCACGAAGCCGCCTGTAGTTGACGCCAAACACCACACACACACACCCATGGCATCAACGGACGGACACAGACATGCCACCCACACGCCACGCCACTACGCCCACCTGTGCGGCTTGGTCGCTCCGCAGCTCAGGGTAAGCGAGGTCGTCAAGAGTGATGGTCTCGCACAGCTGGGCCACCCTGCCGTCCTGGTCGAACGGGATGCCCCGACGGAGCGACAGGAGCCCCGCGGCACGATACAGGAGACCGCTCTCGAGATGGGCAAGGCCATACGCAGCTGCACGACAGCGACAGCAGCAGACAACCATAGAGAGCTCATTGAGGAATCATCATATATATGCACAACCACACACCAGCGGGGAACAGCATGCAGTGTGTTGTGTGTCGGTTTGCTCACTGGCGAGGCGCTTGGCCACGGTGCCCTTGCCCGCTCCCGCCGGCCCATCCACAGCGACAATGAAGTCATCACTCGACCCAGGTGCCGATTGTTGCGATGAATCAAACGAGTTGGCGGCACTCATCCGAGCCACAGATGACCGCCGCCTCAGCAACGCGGGACTCGGTGCGGGTGGGAGAGAGAGGGGGCCGCTGAAAGCCGAGATGAATGCGCGGCGGCTCGAAGGCAGTTTGGCGAGCCGTGATGATGTTGCCGGTGGTACTGAGAGCAGCCACACTGTGAGGCTAGCCAGGAGCGAGCCCTCCATCTTGACGCATCAACGAACGCTTCAGGCAGGCGATGAGTCGCTGGCTGGTAGTTGGAGAGATAACTGACCAGATCTTCTGCAGGACACTTCCACCAAACCGCAAGGCCGGAAGGAACGGGTCTGGGACGACTTACGACTTGGCTCCCTATGGCTTCAGCGGTTTCAGGGAGGACCCTAGTCTTTGGCTTCAAGCTCGCAGTTTTCTGAACTCCTAACTCCTTCTCCCTCTGCCAGCACAGGACCTCAGCTGGAGTTCTGCAGTAGCCCGCAAGGCCCGACCGCATCGCACGCATTTCGCCTTTCCACCCATCGCCAGACACCCCAACGGTGCGGTACCATGCATTCTGACTAAGGGACTGTCCAACGGACACTGACCGGTGCGGCTCTACCCATTGGTAAGCGAATGCACCCGCCAGGTGGGGGATTCCGCCGTGCATGAGGGCCGGGAGGCCGAGGCAAGACGGGGTAGGACGTGTGGCGTGATGTTTTGTGGGTGCAGATGTATCCGTCTGGTGTTCCTGGCGTGTCGTCGAGCACTCTGCTGACCGGTCATGGGTTTCAGAGCGCATCGGCGGCTGCTGCCAACCGAGGAGGCCACCGCGGCGGTGCTGTGATGCGAGGAGGAGGTGTCGCCGACCATCAGCGGGAGCATAGCAACCACCCTGACGACCACGACATGATCATGGACCCTGAGGTGAGAGAGGCGACCACACCTCATCTCTCCACATCCACAGTGCAGTCCTCTCTCTGCGTGTGGTGTGTGGTGTGTCTTGTGTCAGATTCACCGTCGCCCCCAGCAGCAGCAGCAGCAGCAGCATCAGCAGCAGCAGAACCACCGTGTCCGCAACGCCGCTCACCACGCCGTGTACCAGGCCCACACGCACCGCTACGCCACCCGCCGTGTCCAGCAGCAGCAGCCCAACGGCAGCAACCACCCCGGGCACAATGGCGGTGCAGGTGCAGGTGCGGGTGGGGGTGGTGTGCAAGCGTCGGTTGTGTCGAGTGACGTGATGATGTCTGTCGACTCGTCGATGGAGTCTTCCATGGCCCAGTCGCAGCAGCAGCAGTCGCTCGCGGGCATGGTGCAGCGGTCGGCACTGCCGCGCACCATCCCGGAGGACTGCACGGTGCGCTTCCAGGTCCTCACGCCACACGAGGCGGCTGAGCGGGGATTCGGTACGCGTACATCTCTCACCACAGGCATGACATCACAGACCACAGGCACACAGCACCTTCCTTGTGTGTGCGTGTGGTTCTTGTCCCTCCCTCCAGGTGGGTATGCTCACATCTCGGGGCGCACCTTCACTGCGACGATCCCTGTGGTGGGTCTGGGCACCCCGTTGCGTGTGTTCGAGGGTCGCCGTGAGTTTAGCCAGTCGGAGCGGCTTCAGCTGCAGCTGTTCGAGGGGCGGCGGGCGGCGAGGGTGCAGCTCCTGCCCGAGTGGGACCGCAAGAAACTCCACGACCCCCAGTACTGCTCAGAATACGCCAAACAGATCTACGACGACCTAGTACGGAAATCGGCCCAGGTGAGAAAGAGCGAGGGAGGGAGGGAGGGAGGGAGGGAAACACACACATGGGTATGAGTTGTGATGTGGTGTGTGGTGTGTCTTGTGTGTCAGTTCCACTTGCGCGCGCGTCACGGCTACTTCGAGGGCGGTTCGCAGCCCGAGGTGAGTTCCGTGATGCGCACCATCTTGGTGGACTGGATGGTCGAGGTGCACAAGCGGTTCAAGCTCAAGCAGGAGACCCTACACATCGCCATCACCATCATGGACAGATACTTCGGTATGTACGCTACGCTAAGCTCTCTCTCCACACACACACACACACACACATCCCCTCTCCCACACCGCCACCGCCACCGCCACACACCCCTCTCTGTCTGTTTGTGTGTCTGTTGTGTGTGTGTGTGTGTGTGTAGAGTCGAAGGCGTTGCCCCGTGAGCATCTGCAGCTGTTGGGTGCGTCGTGTCTGCTGATCGCGGCCAAGTACGAGGAGATCTTCGCCCCGGAGGTCAACGACGTCGTCTTTGTCGCCGACAACGCATTCAGCGCACAGCAGCTACGCGACTTCGAAATGCAACTTCTGGACGTACTCAAGTTCAAACTCACCGTAAACAACCACACACACACACACGCCCCCCTCCCCCCGCCCCTCCCTCACACGTATCCACATCTCTCTCTCTCTCTCTGTGGTGCGTGATGTGTGTGTGTGTGTGTGTGTGTGTTCAGACTCCTAGCGCGTTGACGTTTCTGAATCGGTATCGTGTGGTGATGGGGCTGGAGGACCGGCACTACTACCTGGCCATGTACTTCACGGAGCTGACGCTGCTCGATTACAAGATGCTGCACTGGCCGCCCCACCTCATCGCCACCGCCGCCATGTACCTTTCCAATCGCATGAACCGCATGAAGGGCATCGTAAGCACCTGCACACACCGCCCACACAAAGAGAGAGGGTGGATGGATGGATGTGTGTGTGTGTGTGGATGGATGGATGGATGCATCCAGCACCCGTTGATGCAGCAGAGCGGCCTGATAGACGACCTGAACGAGTCGGTCATCAAGGACTGCGCTCGGCAGATCGTGGCGCTCGTCCAGGAACAGAATCAACCCACCAATCCTAACAAGGTGGGCACCCCACACCCACAGCACACACACATACACACATACACACATACAGTGTCCCCATCAGGCCATCCGGAGCAAGTTTGGCAAGGAGGAGTACCAGAAGGTCGCGGAGCTGGTCAAGATCGACTCGAACGCACAGCAGAACAAGGCCAAGCAGCAGCAGCCCCACCACCATCAGCACCCTCCTGCGCCACCCGCGCCGGCCGCCCAGCAGCCCAACCGACACAACCAGCACCACCACAACGCATATGCGCCATCGTACCACTCCTACGCCGGGGCGGCTGCTGCGGCTGCCGGGGGCCACCAGTACCCCCACCGCAACCACTACGCCCAGTACCCCCACACCACACACGGGGCAGGGGCGGCACACAACCCGGTGAGCCAACACCAGACCCACTCCCCCTCCTCCCTCACCCCTCCCTCCACACACGTCTTCCTCTCTCTCTCTCTCTCTCTGTGTGTGTGCATCAGGGAGCTATGCAGGGGGTGGTTGAGGGTGCTGGAGGGGGAGGGGCTGGCGGCCACGCCAATAGCGGTGCTGGCAATGGCTGTGGCGGCGGCGGTGGCGGCGGCGGTGGTGGGAGCGGCACCATGGCAACGTCGGCGTTCCGGAAGCGTCGGCAGGCGACTCAGCTGGACCGTGACAGCATGGAGGACAGCGACGAGTTTCCCAACCGTGGCAACAAAAACAGGGCCTCACGACCTTGCGCACCCGGCGCATGAGTGCTCACACACACACAGCACACCCACACCCAGACACCCAGACACTCGTAGATAGAGATTCCCACGCACCTTCGATGGCTGCTGGCTCAGAGACAGACCGGATCTATGCATGTGCGTATGTGTGTGTCTTTTCTTTGATTTGGGTGCACTGACCTCGTCTCTTTTGGGGAGGGACTATGGGATGTCTTGTGCTTCGTGTGCCAGTGTCTTGTGCAGCCGAGTGGATGGATGGATGGATGGATGGACGGCCGGACAAGGGGTGCTTGTCTGTGTGTGTGGTGTGGGGAGTGGGTTGGTGTGTCGGTGCCAGCCAGCCAGCCCACCCAGCAGAAAGTGTCGCTCGCTCTCCCGTAGCTAGCTAGCTCCTAGCTTCTCTCTCTCCCCTCTCTCCCGATTGGCCTGCCTGCTGTGTGGTCTTGCGTCCCTTGAGCTGACTTCTGCCGCCCCACCAAACACACACACAGAGAAAGGGACAGGAAAGGACGGAGAGAGCGACACATGGCACCCACACCAC